TAAAAAACAAACAAAAAAAAAACAAACAAAAAAATCTCAGTCTTTGACTGAGTCGACACAAGTGGATGATGATATGTTTGTGTCTCCTTCCTTCTCTATTACATCCAGAAAAGGAGATTAGAAACTCAGCTCAAGGATGTTAAAAGGTAACACCAGCCTTTCTGCATCCTTCTAAAGTGCTGGCATAGTAAACAGACTACCTGAGGCTGTAAGAGATAGCAATTCAGGGAACTTTGACTCAAGATTAAGGGGAAAAAGTGCTGGGGCTAGCTTTTGACTCCTAACTCAGATTCAGCATAAGTTGATTATGGAAAAATTAAATATTAGTGACAAAGGTATCAAATTATACCTTAGGCATTTCTTCCTTTTAAAAGTGTTGTTATAAAAGAATTAACTTCTTTACTGGCTTATATGTTTGGGTTAGGTTTTAATAAAGAGATTATTTTTATAATAAAAGGGAGGAAAAGCTTGCCTAACCATTTTAAACATGCCTGTGACTTAAGCCTTATTGCTTTAGTCCATGTGACTATGACAAGCCACTGCCAATAACCCCTTGAAAGTAGAACCTGGAAAAAGAAAAGTATAAAAGAAAAACAAATGTTGAAAAGGATTAGTTTTGGGGATAGGAATAAGGGACTCAGAGGCACAGTAGGCAGAGGGAAAAGAAAGTATAAAACTTAAAGGGAATTGCTCACTTAGTTCTATGACTTCTGCATCTTTTATCTTAACAGTATCTCTTACATTTATTCTGTCATGTTCAGTATGACCCTGAGCCCCGGGGACATTCTTAACTAGCAAGGACAATTCAGTTATGTTGCCTAGATCCTCTTTACTTAGATAAGAAAAAAGACAATAACAATTTTGGAAATATTTTGAACAATAAGCAATAAGAAAACAAAGACATTTCTTGCTAGCCCTTACTTATTAAGTACAATTTATCAGGCTCTTTTCGTTCCCTCCATTCTCAATGCATTCCAGCCAACTTAGGTCACAATGGCCTAGAATTCAGATGTATGTTTGCTTGAAGATTTTTCCCCCTAGAACTAATCTCACAGAATCCAAGTTAATTATTTTCATTAAACACTTTCTAGAGAGTCAAATAAATGAAAAGGAAATCAGAGTGCCTCCTGCTTTTTTCTGTGAGAACAGAGAAGCTCTTAGTTCAAGCTGAGCCTGCCACTTTAGAATGACTAAACTTACAGATGGTTCTCTACCCTTTCTTGCTGTTCATATCTATTTCAGTTTGTGTTCAAATAGTCTTTTGGTGATAGCTTGGTAACGAAAAAAGTTTATGGGCAAAGCTCCTTCCCAGCAACCTCTTACACTGAGGTTAGGCTTGCATAGCCTTGCACATTGGTCATCCTCAGAGGCATAATCTTTCACTAATATCTTGCTCAGACAAAAAAATTTCTTTATATGAAATAAACATCTCCATTGCTTTGCCAAGACAAGTTTCAAATACCAGAGCTCTTTACTTCTGGGTAGGAGAAATAGAAAACAGTAAGCATCCCTTTTCTAACCTATCCCTTCCACGCGTTTTCAGTATGACTCATTCCACCCTACCCACACACTCTATTCTATGAACGACTTGCAATTGCTAAGCTTTCCTAGATAATTATTACATTTGTCACATTTGCATAAGTAGGAGTTCCTATTTACAAAGGGTTTTTTTCAGAAATTGAACAAAAAAGGTATAATAATATTAATATACGAATAGTCCTCGACTTGCTAATGACATGTATTCTGAACATTTATTTTATTTTATTTTTGTATTTTTGAGATAGGTTCTCCCTGTAGCTCCAGGTGACCTGGAACGTACTATGTAGACCAAACTAGCCTGGAACTCACAGTGATCCGTCTGCCTCTGCCTCCCAAGTGATTAAAAGTGTGCACCACCATGTCCAACTTCTCCTAAATATTTGTAAGTTGTCTATTTGGAACATGAACTATGTTCCTCCGTAGAAGCTTTACTATATATGTGGGGGTCAGATTTCTAGCCAGTCCAAAAAGGCTGATTTAAGCCACATATACCTGAAAGCAGAAGGATAAAGTGTGCTTCCTGTCATTCATTAAGTCCAAAGCACCCTCAAGGAAAACTTTTAAAAGAGACCAATATAAACAAACTCCCCCATCTTCATACTGATTTTCACTCATTTGCCAAGGAGCCATTGTTCTCTTGTTCTCCCAAGCCTGCCACTGTGACTCTCCATTCTTCAAAACTGCCAACCTCACTTCTGCTTGGCTCAATCAAAATGAAACTGTCAAGTCCTCCTTAACAACCGGTTCAATTCACTTGCATTGTGATATGGGCGATTGATTGCTTTTTACCCTCCACAAGGTACATCCATGACTAAAAGAGGAATCTTATCAGTCTCAAATTAACCACAGTGGTTAATTAACCACAGGGCATAAGGTAAAAGCCACTGGGTCAACGATAATGGCCCTGCCTATGAGGCAGCCCCTATAATCAGTCTACCAAAGGTATGCTCTATTTCATAACATCTTTCTTTCTTCAGTGTCTGGCTATCCACACAGGACTCTGTAAAGCTTCATTTTTTTCCTACACAGTCCCGATGATGGTGGCAGAAATTCAGAGCATTCATAGGTATTGTGGGTCTTTTGTATTTTGGGTCTGTTTCAATGAGAATCAGCCTGTAAAATTCACAGAAATTTAGAAACATTCTGGAGTAAGTGGTGCTGCTGGGTGACATTAATATAGGGCATTTAATGAGAAACAAATGAGGTGTCTGGAAATTCTTGGGTTTAGAACAAGTCTTCAAAAATATGTCAAGGGTGCTGCTCTTTCTAGAGATTTTTGTGATTTTCATGGGTCACCAAGGTCAACATGGTCAATTAACATACTAATTAAAGCACAAATACTAATCAGACCATGATCAGAGGTTGAATCTGTTCTTGAGCCAATGGTTTCAGTGTTTCCTAAAACCACAATTGTAGGCACACACGTTTAATTTCAGCACTCAGGAGGCAGAGGCAGGTGGATCTCTGTGAGTTCAAGGCCATCCTAGCCTACATAGTGAGTTCCAGGCCAGCTGAGGCTACAGAGAGACCCTGTCTCAAAAAGACAAAAACAAAAACAAAAAAACAAACCACAGTCTTGGCTCTTTTTCAAGGGGTCCAGAGGAGGGAGTTATGTATATGGCATAAGTTACATTCATCTACATGCCTGAAAACACCACCAAGCATGCAGCCAATGGCAGTGAGTCACTTGCACTATGTTCTGCTGCAAAGTCTAACATATTCTTAGGAATAGGTGGGTTCTTCTACAGTGTCTCCAATGTCTGTACCACCCTTTCAAGAGCTTCCAAACTGATTCCTATAGAAAGGGAAGAAAGGGGACAAGGGGAGATGAGGGGAGAGGGGAGAGGGAAGAGGGAGGAGAATGAGGGAAAACAGAGGAAAAGGGAGAGAATGACTCTGTGATTATTCATGGTATCCCTGCTTCCCTACCCATAGGGAAAAATGTTTCAGAAATTGGATGACTGTGTGTCCCAGCTGCTTATCTGCTTATGTTGGTCAGCAGGAAAGAAAAAGCCAGACCCCAGGTGGCAACAACCTGGAGGTGGTACTGGAGGCTCAGGAATAGCTGCTTGCTCAGGATAGAAGCTTTTTCTGAAGCAGAATGTTTCTCACTAGTACACAGTACCTATGATTGTTGAAAAATGAAAACATGCTATAGTTTTTATATGACACAACAGTCACAGAGAGTTGACAAAGCCCTGAATTAAGCAGGAGAATAGTCATGATGTGTGACTTTTGTAGATTTTACTAGAGTTATGATTATTCTCAAACATGCCATAGAGCAAGAGAGAAGTGTATGGAGATACCTTAACATTTTGTTTGGAATCTTGTGCTTTCTGAAGATATGTGGAGATGGCAACAGGCTTTAGAGTCAAAATTTCCATGCAAGAGTGAATAAGAAATCATGATGTGGAAAAGGAGAGGGGTTAGGGAGATGGCTCAGTCAAGAAAGAGCTTGCTATGCAAACACAAGTATCTGAGTTCAGATTTCCAGCACTCATGTCAGAAGTTAGGTGTGCTGGTATGCACCTATAACTGCAGTACTGGCGGGGGGGAGGGCAGAGATAGGAGTTTCCCTGGGGCTTCCTGATCTGCCAATCTACCTGAATCGGTAAGCACCAGGTTCAGTGAGAGAGCTTGTCACAAAAAAATAAGGTAGAAAGAAATTGAGGAAGATACCCAACTTCAACCATCTGACTCTGCCCTCCACACACACACACACACACACACACATGCACACATACGCATGCACACCTGCCCACATGCACATAGACACACAAATACATACAGGAGAAAGAAAAGAAGCAATGAAAGGAATAAACAAATGCAATAGATCCCTCAGATATAAATATGTGGTGATAATCAGGTTGCTGTTCTTCCTTCAAAGTCATCTTCTAGTATCAGGAAAAGAGTAACAAGGAAAATTATACTGAATCCAAGCCACTGAACAGTCAGTCAGTCTTATTTTTGTTGGCAATTCTAATCACGGAAGGGATCAAGCAGTGCCGCCTGAGGAAATAATAAAAGCATCCCTTTCAATATGGACATGCCAATATATTCCATGAAAAAGAGGATATTGCCATATTGCCTAGATACACGTCTCTAAAGACCTGAAGTGATTAATCATGTGGCCTAGGAGCTCAAAAATGAAAGCAACAGGTGCCATCTATCTGATAACTGGATAAAAAAGCCAGACTATTTAGCTTTCAAATATTTTATCAGTACAGAAGACAAAGGGATCTCTCAGGTCACAGCAACCAACATCCCTCAAGTATAGCTCGTTCTGCAGCAGGCCTCTCCACAAGAAGGTTTTACCCAACTCAGTGGAGCTTGGAAATTCACCAGCTACATTACATTCTGCCAAAAATGTAAAGGCTAGGACTGGCACACATACAAAAGGGAGCCCCAGCTTTGAAAATTTGGCAAAATCTTGTGCTCTGTTTTTCTACTGTTTTTCCACTTTATGGCTTGCTTCACACCAACTGCCTTTCTGTTTTTCTTCTTTGGAAGGCTGCAATTTCTGCTGCTTGCAGTCCCGTAGGGTGAGACACACAAAAATAGGTAACGAAGAGAGTATGCAAAATTATGACATAGAAAGACTCTGATTCAGTGATTAAGTATGACTTCTACTTACCCATCTTTGCCCACTTGTGGGGGCACAGGAAGGGGCTTCGTGAAACCCTTTATTCCAAGCAGCCAGAAGGTTTCCTCTGTGCCTTTACCCTTTTAGAAAATATATAAAATCTTAATGACACAATATCCAATTTTTCTTAAAAAATTCCCTTGGTCAATAGGAGTAAGCATTCAGTTTGCCTCAGAAATGGCCCTTGTCACCATTCCCTAAAGGCTTCTTTTCTATATGGCTTCATGACCATATGTCAGGCAAGCTCCATAGACTTGCCTGAGTAGTCAGGTGCAAAGTGAACACCGCATCAAGCTGTTACCCAGATGTTCTGTCTACTCACCACCAGATAGCTCCATCTTTAGCAAACTGTGGATGTTTGGCTTCACACCAACAAAACATCTGGACTGTCAATTGAAGATGTTTATTATTTTGGTTCTGATCTTTTGGCAGTAATCAAAAATCATTGTCTTTTCCCATCTAGAATAAAGATATGTAGAGCTGACTTTTTCCCTACAGTCTATATTCCAATGGGCCTCACAAAATCCCAGAAGGGAATGCAACCGAAATATGGGCTTTACAACATTGTATTTAAGCTTAGTGCATCCTGGTTGCTGTGAGATGTCGGTATTTCTTCAGTGTTCTTTATCCTGCCAAGGGATTCTTCTAAGTAGGGCAAGACGTCAAGGATGCCCTCATCCAAACCAGTTGGTTGGTTGTCAAGAATCACAGGTCTTAGGCGAGAAAGAAAGCACCACAGGACCATTGCTCTCTAATGACACTCAATGACCTCTTTCTACTTATTCTCCCTTTCCCAGGTTTCTAGTAATATCTGTCTTTGTGAGCTTCTCTCTCCTCCTTTCAGTTTTTTTTTTTGCCTATCCTCCTATTTGTTCTGCTTCATAAGGAAAAAATATATTAGACTGAGAAATATAATAGAATGTGTTTCCAATTTGTTAATCTGAAATATAGTCTTACTTTCAGCAGTTTCCTCTTGAAGCAGTTTGAAACTTTAACCTAGAAACTTCAATTAAGATTGTCCCTGTAAATAGCAAATGCCCTGTTCTGTCACAGCAAACTATCTGTAATGGTGCAGTAGTGGCACTTTTATTTTGGGAGTAATCAAGAGGTATCTAATTGGATCTAAAGCCTACACAATGTGAGGGAACTCAGTGTGGCACTGTAAATATAGCCAAATACACATGGCTAGAGAGTCCATAGATGCAGAGAAAACCCTACATCTGTCACATCCCTAAACCAACATAATTTTTTAATGTATACTAAATATGTATTCTTATATTTGCAGAGAAGTATACCTGTCACCACTCATCAAAGAAGATGATGGAGACTATTACAGAGTTTCACAACTGGCCACACACAGAGAATAAGTGTCTGTGAGATACTCAGTCCTAAGTCATACATCTAACAATGGAACCTCTACACTTAAAGCTCACAGAACATAGTGACATGGCATTTTGAAGACATCTTGGTATCTCCTGTCTTGTTTATTCTTCACAGAATCCCTAGAAGGTAGTTTTATTATTGGTCTCATTCTGCAAATTACGACACTGAGGTTCATGGTATTAAATGGCTTGCCAATAAGCAGGCTTAACTGGGAACTGAAATTAACTTACTAGACTGAACATTTTAAATGCCTTTCCCTCTACTCCACATGGCTTCTCTAACACACTGGAATCACAGGGCAAATCTACAGACCAAAAGGCAATTCTTAGAAATCTTAAAGGATATAAGATTAATAAGCTTCCTGATGATCAGAAGCAAGAAGAGGCCCCTATGTAGACAAACAGAAATATAGAGAAAATGGTGTTACTTGTCCAATGTCACACAATAGAGACCAGTCCTTCTGGTGTTAATAAATCTGGCAATATAATTTTTTTATTTCTTAGGTCACTTGCCTCCATCTGTCTCTCTCTCTGTCTCTCCATCTCTGTCTCTATGTCTCTGTATCTGTGTGTGTGTGTGTATGTGTGTGTTACAGGTTAAGAGAAAGAGTAAAAGAGATTGAGGAAGAAGAAAAATCACAAAACATACAAATGCTTATGGACTTGAGAGCCAAATACTCCTTAACGCCAGAAATTACAAAATCTAGAAGTGTCTCCCTCTAGCAACAAAAACATACACTGGCTAAAAACAACAGTCTTTTCAAAATGCTAGTTTACATAAAGGCCCTGGAAAATGTAACTTATTTGCCTAGATATGTACAAAATCTTCAGTCAGCCGGAAAGGAAAAGATGTTTCTAGTCATCAACTTTGAAGTCACAGCTAGCTGATTATCAGATGTCATCTTCCTGCCCCATGTCCTGGGGCAACTCTTGCTTGCAACAACACAAAGTGGATAAGGGGTGAACATGTTGAATTAGACTTTCAGAAATGTACTGGCAACATGATAGAGTCTAATTTGGCATGTATTGCATGCTGCCAGTAGAGTAAAAACCTCCATTCCTTAACCCTTGATATCCAACCTGCGGCTTCTGCCTCTTGTGGAGAAGTGGAAGGTACAGAAACAGAAAGAATTTCACATCCTCTCCCTTTTTGTATTTGAGTCTTCTTCTCTTTTTTCATCTCAATATGTCCTCTTTTTCTCTGGTGTCTCTTTCTCTTCTCTCTCAGTATCTCCCTCTGAATATTTAGTCCTCATGTGGTATCTGCTACCCAATAACCAAGACCCAATGTGGCATCAAAAAAATAGCTCTTCCTCCTCCTTGCTATAGCATCTTTCCAAATTCCCTGGGATAGGGAAAACTTTGAAGTTGTGAAGGGCTTTTGAAGTTAAGTCTCATTTTTGTACTTGAAACTTCTAAAGATGCAACGCTCCTGTCTAGAATGTGTGGGGGCAATACAAACCATGGGGTGGGGGCAATTTTTCTTTCTTCAGTTTCAAAAGAGAGACCTCTTCAATTCTTCAGCTTTCAAGAGAAATTTCTGTGCCCAGCAATACAGAGGAAAGTGCTTCAGGAAACCAAGCTGCCTTTGTCCTTCACTGCTGAGAAATGACAGAATGTATAGTGGAATCACAAAAGCCTTGAACAATCTGATTTACTGCCCATGAAATACCCCTCCCTGTATCCTGTCATCGTGTGAGCTCTTTGCAGAGGTAGGGATGAGAGTCTGTCCTGTTTTAAGTGACTCATCTCACCTGCTAGATGATATTATGGATCTATTAGAGGAGATGAGCTATCAAGAGTGAGAAAAAGAGGTGGTCAACAGAATCAAGCCTTCCAAACTTTAACTTCTGAAATCTAATGGCATGTAAATCATCACCATTCAGGAAGTCATGCCAATGACAGAAACAAATCACACCATATCCAGCACCCAGATTTTGCTCGCCTCTATGAATGATCACTTAAAAATCATCTGCATGTACCATGGTATCATGGAAACAAATCAGGCTCAGTGATATCTGACCTGATTATGCTAGCAAATGACTATGTGACCCTTCTCAAATGACTTAGCCTTTCTGGGTTTTGATTCTTTTTTTTTTAAATAAGTAACTTGGATTATGAGAATCCTGGCATCTCTTACACCTAGTGGTCCTGGAACCATCTCAAAGGGGATGAGAGAAAAAAAATCAATGGAAATACTAGACAGGAGGTTAGATTGCCCTAATCCCAAATCCCAGCTCAAGTGAAAGTCTCAACAGAGAGGACAGGTGTTACAAAATGTTTATCTTTCATAGAAATGGACTTTGTCCCCACCCCTAGTCCTTGGAGAAATACATAAAGTTCCTCTGTATATAGGAGACCAATGACGTGAATGAAAAGTTAGAAAGGATGGCTGCTGAGCAGACACATAGAAAACCTAAATTCACCAATACTACAACAATGTTCAGCACTGCTGAAGAGTGAACAAAATGGACATTAGACAATGAAACTAATAATGTAGGGGGCTGGAGAGATGTCTCAGCAGTTAAGAACACTGACTATTCTTGCAGAAGATCTGGGTTTGAATCCTAGCAGCTAACAACTATCCGTAACTCCAGTTCCAGGGTATCCAACAGTTTCTTCTGTCCTCTGTGGGCATTGCACGACATGGGTGCACTTACCTACATGCAGGCATAACACTCATACATATAAAATAAAAATAATACATAAAATATTTTTTAAAAAGAAAATAATGATGTAAATCATTACAAAGCCAAATTCTGGGCAGTTCTTTAACAGAAAGAGAGCTTCTAGTCTGAAAAAAAAAAAACAGAAAGAATTTCAATTACCCCCCACCCCATTTAAGAAGAGTTCAAAGAGAAAAACACTGAAGCAGAAGGAAACGTCAAATGGAGCTTGAGATTCTGCCTAAATTATAGCCCCAACTCTCAGACTCCCAAGTCAGCACTTTCAACAGACCATGACCTCTCTAGAAGCAGGTGTGTCCAAGTGGCTTGGTTACCCCAAACAAAAGGTCATTATACCTTGAGCTCTGTTCTTCTGTGAAGCTCTACGTCATAGCCCTCACTCAGAGTTCGAAGAATTGTTACCGTGCTGAGACTGACATGAATTCGGTATGCTGTAAAAGAAAGGGACGCACCACTTTGGCTCTTTTTTCATTGATAAAATCAATGAGACGTTAATAATGTAATGAATATCCCCACTTCAGAGTGTACAAAGCCCTAAGAAAAGTCCTGAGAGAGAGCGCTTTAGTACTGGTTGAATAGGAGGAGGAAGGGGAGTGATGACCTTCTCACCAGGCCCCAAAAAGGTGTTAGCAGTAGCCCCTATCACCCTCCTTGACACTATCTCAGATGAAAGGTCATATACTACAAAGGTGTTAATTTAGTACAAAGGTTTAGATGGAGAAACTAGCAGCCACCACTGTGCTGTCACCTACAATGTGACCTCCTCTGAAGGAAGTTTGGCTTCAATAGCTTCTTGCTCAGGCTGCTACTAAGACTGAGTTTCCCAAGCCTATATAATTCAACTTGAGAGACAAAAGAGTGTCTTTTCCAAAATTTGTACCCTTACAGCTATCTCTTAGTATTGTCATGGTTAAAACATCAGTGAGAAATAGCACAAGACCTCTGTCAACAAATATTTTGTGGGCATGAGACATCCCTAGCTGTCTTTTTAGGGGCAGTGCTTCTAGCTATGAATGCACATGAATGTATCACTTTCCAATCTTGGATTCAGATATGTGATAAAAAGCTTCACATGAGGAACTAGCTCTCTAAGAATTTATTTAGAACTGAGGTGTAATTCTTTAATGAAGACCAACCACTTGTTAACTGAGATAAGATCTTTGACCTCCCTAAATCCTTCACCATATGAGGTGACACCTTGTTGAATATGAGTCTTAAATAAAAGTCCAGGATTTGCTCTCATACATACTTGAGAAAACTATTCATTTAAAAGCTGATTATAATCTGACTAGAAAGGCATGGCTGAAAAGAACAGCAAGAAACTTTTACCATGTATATTCACAATGACTTTCCTTTTCTTAACAGCTCAGCACCATTGTTTGTATCTTTCTCATTGATTCACAGTCATCCAAAGCCTCTGCTCAAAAGGGATTGTCCTGTTCTTAAAACACACATCCCTGGTTATCATACCCCTTGTCAATCCAATATGTGTCATCCCACCAGCATCTGATCTTTAGGAAGTCTTGCAGTAAGGTGACCCTGCTTCTGAGGGACACATAGCTCAAAAGGCAGTTGATTCTAACCGCCATCTAACTATATGATAAAGAGGATCATTCCTCTGTCCTTAGTCACTCTCATTCTAGAATCTTAGTCTATTTAACTGGATGCAAAGGAGATTTCAAAGAAACAGATTTTTTTTTATTAATAGGCGTCATATCTAACATGAAGTTAGTGGCTACCTTTTTACAGATCTTCAGTAACTTATAGATCTTACTGCCATATTCAGTTCACGGTCATAAGCCTTTAGAAAAGCACACTAACCATGTTCAGGAGCACAGAGATCACATGTGCCAGTTTCTATGTACCCCACACAAAGCTCTCTTTACAAAGCCAGGGCTTAATAAACACTGTGGGTGATTCACTGCATTCATTTTCTCTTCAAACCTAACCACTAAACAAGGTGCTGCCTAAACCTCAAAATGCAGTTTTTGCTCCCAGTTCTCTTTATCCAATGTGAAATGTGTAGAGTTTTCCCCAGTGCATACCAGAATATGACTTTACCCTTCTACAAGCTTACATCAGTCATGAGTATTATGCCAAAAGTGCATTGCAGTTCCATGATCATTTTCACTTCATCTTGGATTGAGCTTCAAGAGCAAAGTCATATGCACACGTTAGTTCTTGAATGGCTACTTTTATTGTCTCTGCTATATCGGTAGCATTTGAAGACTTTCCCAGATGTCAGAAAATTTATTCTGACAACAGCTTCTAAGTTCTGTACTGCCTCCTTAATCATGGCTGCACAGGCTACATTGACTAAGACTGAACCCATTGTATAAGCCTGTTTCTACACATGAGTGATGGGGAGTAGGGTCACACAGGGCACCACCCACTGTGATATAAACCACCATATCACCAGAGACTAGTTTGAGTATGTTGCTGAAGCTGAGGAAGAACTTAAAGTACCTAGTAGTTGCCAAGGCCAGGGATGCTAATGGTTTCAATGATTTCTTCCTTTCATTTAAAAGAAAATCACAAAGACTGTATGTAGAATGTCTTGTTTTTATTTTTTATTTTTTCCTACAATAGCATGGAAATTTTGCTTTACTCAAATATGGTATAAGTAAAAAGGCACATTGGGGCACTGTCCATATTTCAGCAGAAATAACAGATAACCAAGAAAGGGTTGATCAAGCATCTTGCCAACAACAAACAAGTGGCATAATTTGTACTGCTTTATTCTCCAAGAAGGGAGGAAGATGTAGAATCATTGATACGATGATTGTTTTGATAGAAGCTAAGGATTTTATATACAGGCAAGCTTGAATTAATTATTTTTGGTATTCCAATCTACTTAGATTGAAGGATTTTTTTCTCGCTAAGTTCTAGGGAGCCATTTGATAAAGCCAGAACTCCTGGGGTCCTAACTAGTTCAAAAGGCAGGCGAGGGCAGAAAACAGCAGCGGGGGGCGCGGGGCAACTGGTTCATGTGTCTTCACAAACTAGTTGAAAAACTAAAAATGCCAGTCTCTTACCTAGCCCTTTTCTCCACATGACTCCCTCACACCTACCAGGCTGGCCAATTCTTTCTTCTGTCCAAAACACTTTTTAAATTTGTTTTGATCAAATTGACTGGCTGATTCTATGTTACTTAGCTACAGCTGTATTTCTAGAACAAGATAGGTGCATGTTCAGTCCAACATCACCCCCTACTGGTTCACTATTAGAGACCAGGGAAATGTGTGATAAATCTTTATCTTCCCAAATTATTTTTTCTTTTTCTTCAAAACATTAAAACACCAAGTCCCCTGCTCTCTTTCCCCTTTCTTGAAGAATCACTTTCCCAATACTAGGATGATCCCATCTCATCCATCCATCTGCAGGTACTCACATAACCCTGTTGATTCCGTTCAAGAAGCTGTGTTCATGGTGTCTCCAAACAGGCAATATCTGGGCATGGTGAGGTCCACCACTCCAGCAACAACCGGCCCTACTGAGTAGCAGGACCAGAATTGTAGTCAACATGCATGTACTCAATACTAACATAGGAGCCATAGGAGGGGTAGGAATGTAGGTTTGTAAAAGAATCAAAGCTGCTATTCTTTGAATCTGAAGGAAGACTTAAAATTGAATAATGAACTCTGGGCTACAAGGAAGCAAATTTACTATGATCCAGACATGACTTATACCTTTATTTCTAGTAACTGTTACACTCAACATGCTTATATCTGTCAACAAGGACAAATAAGCATCAAAACCAAACCAGAAAAATATGAATAAGGACTCAGAATCCAAACATGTTTGATGCAAGGGGGAAATGTGACTGTTTCTTGTGCCTTAGGGTTGGAAGAAAGAATCTCATAATTCTGTCTCTCAAGTGTGTCTACAAAGAGAATTATTGCTAAGACAGAAACTCAGGAAACAAGTAGCGGTAACTTTCCATTATCTGTGCTGGGGGGTGGGAAGAGCAGTACACAGAGGTAATTTACAAATATAAAAAATATGTTCTATTTGCTCTTGCAGCAATTTTTTTCGACTGTGCTACATGTTGAGGATAACTGGGGAAGGGGGCATTTCAGCAGCCAGACAGAAAATTAGCTCACAAGTATCTAAAAATGTCACCATCTTTGCCTTTCTGATTTGTGCTTTTTCTATGTTTAAATTTTACAGCATTGTATTTTTGTTGTTTTCCGAGTTAAAATAAGTGTTTTGCTTGAAAAGTTCTTTCTGCTGAGAATAAGAATAAAAAAGAACTAACAACATATTTTTTCATTTTAATTCACTTCTTTCCCATTCAGGAGTCTATTGGGCACTAAGGAGGGCACTATGAGGAGTTAAAAAGAAATGTAATGTGTGTTCTAAATTCTAGAGACAATTCAAATCGAAATGAAGAGATTACTACACGGGAAGTGATTAAGCAACAGCACAAGGCAATGTGGCTGAGATCAAATACGTTGTACAGACCGAAGTACTACAATAGTTTAGAGGATGAAGAGAGCTCCTTATTAGGACCTGACTCCGTCAAAAAGGATCCAGTGCAGAAGGCAGTTTAACTTCACTTTTGATAGGTAAGCAGGCTTTAAGTAGGAACAAATAAAGGAAAGTAAATCAAAGGTTTGAGATTGCGATTTCAGCATGGATGGAATTTTGGGAAGGTCTTAGAGAAATCATTCTACCCCTTCAGGCATCTGGGCAGAAACTGTAGGTAAGGTTGGATTAAGTGTGTCATACAAAATACAGATCCTTGATCCACTAGAGAATTTTGAGCAAGGATTATATGAAAACTATTCTTTTCCCTTTTTTTTGTTGTCTCAGATCAGTGTATTGAATACATTGTAAGAGGAAGAAGTAAAGCTACAGAAAGCTATAGATGGCTGTTGCAGTATTGCAAGCACAAAGCATTGGAAAGGAGGTAGTGATGGAAGGTGGGTGGCCAGAAAGTGGTGATAAAAGAGAAATTATGAAAGAAGAACGAACAGACTTGTTGATTGTCTGATGGATTACCATGAGAAATTTGACATGGGACTTGGAGTTTGTGTTCATTTGTTAGAAAAGATGTCTTCAAGTTATAAATATATTTAAAATAATGGTGAATCACCCAAACAGAGGTATGCTGAGACATTTGCAGATGTGGCCCTGGAACACAAATTAGAGCTGAGGAATTTTCATTGAAGAGAAGTGCTATATGCTAAGCCCTCAGTTCCTGTTGCCAAGGGGATTAAAGTCTAATGGAAGTAGAGACAAGACAACAACAGTTTAGTCTGATTGCTATGGGAAGGATGAATAGGAAGAGGAGAGAGGGGAAACAAAATGATACTATTACAATGATCTAGGCAAGAAATGCTGGTGGCCTAGACTTGAATAGTAAGAGAAGAGGAGAGACAAGATAGACTCAAGAAGTGTTTAAAAGGGAAAAAATTAAGGACTAGTAGTTCAGGCTGGATGGGTGGCTCAGTGGGTAAAGGCACTTGCCACCAAGCCTAACAACCTGCGTTTGACCTCCAGAACCCACAAGGTGGAAGGAGAACATAAAATCATCAAATGACTTCGCCTAGACTTGAATAGTAAGAGAAGAGGAGAGACAAGATAGACTCAAGAAGTGTTTAAAAGGGAAAAAATTAAGGACTAGTAGTTCAGGCTGGATGGGTGGCTCAGTGGGTAAAGGCACTTGCCACCAAGCCTAACAACCTGCGTTTGACCTCCAGAACCCACAAGGTGGAAGGAGAACATAAAATCATCAAATGACTTCTGTGCCTACAGAGAGAGAGAGAGAGAGAGAGAGAGAGAGAGAGAGAGAGAGAAAGAGAGGGGGGGGGGGGGGAGGAGGAGAAGAAGAAGGAGGAGGAGGAGGAGGAGAAGAAGAAGAAGAAGAAGAAGAAGAAGAAGAAGAAGAAGAAGAAGAAAATAAAAAGAAATAGTAGTCAGGTGAATATCGAAGATCAAAATGAGAATGGAATCAAGGATGACTTCTAAGATAGTAATAAAGTCATTGGAGGTAGTGCCAAATGAAATAGAAAATGCAGGAAGAGAAGGATATTTGTATGGGAAGAAAATAATTTGTTTTTGGACATGTTGAAGTCTGAAGACCATGTAAAACATTCTGGTGAAAATAGCATCAGGAAGTTTGATTGCACACAGGTAAAGCTAAAGACAGATTATCCTGAAGCATATGCATAGTAGTCATTAAACCACAGAAACGAATGAGATCACCCAGGTGAGTGTAGAGGGAACAAAAGAAATGGCTCAAGGTAGGACCCTTAGGGTATACCATTAATCAAGGAACAAATAGAAAAAAAGGATTTATCAGATAGTGATAGAAAATGAAAGCCAGGGTAAAGTAAGTAGAGAAATACATTAGAGAACACTCAAAATTCAGATTATCACCTCATAGAAGGTGGCAGAGAACCAGAAATGCCTAAAAGACTAATAAAGAAAGCAGGAAAGCATCATTGGAGAGCAAGGAGTATGGCATGATAGCCACATGTGAGGCATTTTAGGAGGAACTGTCATACCATACAGAGGTAAGAGTGGACAAGGACATGGAAAATGGTGATGACTAAAGCCAGATTGCAAAGGGACTGAGGAGGAAGTGAATAGTGAAAAAAATGACATGGTAAAGTCATTCTTTATTTTAAAATATTTAGCAGAAAAGAAGTGAAAGGGCGAGGGAAGAAAAGTTGTCTTAAAGAACAGAGTCAATAGATAAAAGGGGAGAATGAGGAGGCAAGCAAGAAAAGCTAATAGAGAGAGATCCATGGCAAGTGAGATGTCCGCCATGATGTGAAAAGGGAAAGAAAGAGTCTAAGTGGAGTACTTGAGGGCATTTAATCAAGAAAAGGTGAGTATGGGAGGAAAATACCGTTAATTGAGATTTTCAGTAATTAAATGAGTTATCCGAAGCGCCATAAATACTTAGTGATCTTGTAGCCTAGTCAAACAGAGAAATGTTGTTGCAAACTTAGAAGACTAGTCTGCAAAGTGTGTTATGTAGAATTAATAAGGGCTGCTGCTACTAGGTGATGTAGGTGATGGGAAAAAGGTAAACTGGGTAGATAGAAAGAAGTAAGCAGTGCTAGACACCTGGGTAATCCAGCTGTCTAGAATCAGAGGACAGCAACATATTTTTCTTTCTTTTCCTAAATCTTCTTGAGGTACATGGAAGTATTTTCATTTGCATTAACCAGTTTCTGTTACCTGAATGGAGACCCATTCGAATTCAAAATGGAACTTCTGTCATTTGTCACATCTTGAAGGTGTCCACAGAGCTCAGAATACCTGGAACATGTTTCCAATCTCAGCAGCATGCCTACTGCCATTCCTCTTTGGAAGACCTGAGGCCACTATGCAGGCATCTCCAATGGTCTCTACCTGGAATCAGAGGAAAGACGTAGGATTAACAAGTGCGTTACTTTTTCCCCCACAGAGTTTCAGGGGTATGATGAAAGTCAGATAGGTAAACTGAAGAAGGCAAGGGAAGGGCTGGATCAGTGATTCACAGGTCCCGCTGCATTTAAAAAGCTGTAAAAAATAAAAAAGAAAAAAAGAAAAAAAAAGAAAAAAGAAAAAAGAAAATACTGATGATGCATAGTTCTCATAGTCACAGATTCAGAAATATATGTAGCTACTTCAGATCTCCTGAATGACCCTAGGGAAATATCAGGCTTCTGGAAACTCCCGCATGAAGGGAAAGTGGGAACGTCCCTAGGATGTCTTTGGGGGAGTACTCTGGGAAAAGGTACCAAAGATGCTCCCAGAGAAAGCATTTTACTAGATGATTTGGGGTAAGTGAGCAGCTGTTGGAGAATATAGGGAAAGGGAAAAGGAAGGACAGGAAGAGTTGATTGCCTGTTTTGCTAATGGAATGGAGTTAATTTCACAAACATTTTGGGTGTGAGAACTGGGGTCTCTCCCCCCCAACCCTACCCCCGTCACCTCCTCCTCTCCTACTGTTACCTCCTTGAGGGGCAATAATACTTGCCCTCATCTACTCTGCAAGAACCAGTGACAACTGGGCACTAGGTAATAAAGAGAAATGAGCACTCCCAATTGGCTTCACAGAGTATGCTCATTTTTATAGATAACTCAGCTTTGGGGGTAAATCAAAATGATAAGTTGAAAGGACTTGTATGAAATGTTCCAGTAAGGCTGGGCTACTACATGTTTGATTATTGCTAAAAACTCATGCAATTCTGGAGCCATACTGTCCAGGTAGAATCTCAGATTCACCATTTACAAACATGGGACAAGTCACTTAATTTCTCTTTGCTCCATTCTGTGTGCTTATCTTTAAAATAAGGATAATGTCAATGCATACTCATAGAGTTTTTAAAGGACTAAATGACTTAAGATATGTCAAAGCACTTCAAACTAAGCAAGTAGATGATAACATCACCATCATCATCATCATCATCAACAACAACATCAAACAGGTATATCTTAAAGCCAGTCTTAAGACTGTGGCTATTATTTGGCTCAAGAAAAAAATAGTTTAGGATTCAGCAAACAGCATCATCACGTTCTAAATAACTAATAATAATGATCATTTACCCCTAAAGGAATTGTACCTCAATGTGCTTCACTTCGATGCCTCTCAGTCCTGGCACAGTTTGAGGGAAAGATTACTGCTTTCAAAAAAAGCATGCCTGCTTGGACACAGGAAGAAGGGCTATAATGTAAATGCTCTCTGTGAGTGGAGAGTTAGTGACTGACCATTATCAGAGCATGGTACTTGACCCTTTACCTTTGGTAAGTTAGTTGCCCAGGGGATCTCAATGATATGGATTAAAGCATTAGAATAACACAGAGCCTGACATTGTTGAGTATTAGTGCATAGATGGATATTAGGGAATATGGGGTGCGACAGTCAATATAAGGACACTGCAAAGGAAGCGAAGTTACAGAATAGAATCGGATTGAGATGAAGGGAGGGTGGTGTAGAAGTAAAAGTAAAATCAAATCACCAGTTTTTCCAGTAGACTTCTCACTTCTGTTTCAGTTTATCAAATATCAGGGGAGGCAATTCCAATTTTACAGGTAAGGAAAATGAAAATACGCACAGGTTTGGTAATTCGCTGATAGGTAATTCACTGATAGTTCAATTTCATTTCCTTTGCACTGTGTTGTTTTTAATAAACAGGCCTGAAATTTTGGAGATTCACATAGCCCTGATCCACCTTGAGAACAGCCCAGTAACTACCTGTTACTTGGTATGCAGCACTAAAATAGCTAATGGCCTCATCCTCAGGACCCCCAATGATTGTCTGAGCAGAATCAGCTGGATTGATTAAAACAGTGGCAGTGTTACTGCCCACGCTGAATCATCTTTGATTTTAGTTTCTACTGAATTAGCTTTTGGTGATTTGTTTTTCTCTTTGGGCTGCTTGAGTTCAACAAGTTAAGGCAGGTTGCCTGATTCCATGGATTTTTTTCCTCCACAGTAGTTTCTATGGGCACTTCTTGATTAGCCCACAGCTTCTGCTGATTGATAGAAATGATGTCTATTTCTGAACCCTATTTAGCTGACCAGGCCTCACCCTAAGGCTCTCTATCAGACTTAAAAGGGCCCCGTCTAATCTGAGATAAACACACACACTGTTATATATGTGATTTGAGGGCTGGAACATTTCAGACTACTATGAAGGAGTCAATGAACGGAGCTACTCATCCTCCAGCTCTACCATGGTTCTTTGGACAGAAGAGTTGTCTAAACTTTGGGATACCTGAGGTATCTTTCTCCATCTACATGAAAACTATCCACGTTTCAGCCGACATGGAAATGTCTCTACAGAGCTAAGAGATTGTTAGCCATTTTCTGCCTAGAGACAATATAATATATAAAAAGAATAAGAGTAAAAAGAAGCATGGTACTAGATCTGGAGAGATGGCTCAGCAGTTAAGGGTACTGGTTGCTCTCGCAGAGGACCCAGGTTCAGTTCCTAGCACCCACATGGTGGCTCACAGCCATCTGTAACGCCAGTTCCAAGGGATCTGATGCCATCTTCTGGATATCATGTACACAAGACACTCATACACATGAAAAATAAAAATCTATTTTAAAAAAGAAAAAGAAGAAAAAGGCCAGGCATGGTAGCACACGCCTTTAATCCCAGCACTCAGGAGGCAGAGTCAGGCAGATCTCTGTGAGTTCAAGGCCAGGCTGGTCTACATAGCAAGTTTCAGGCCAGCTGAAGGAC